TCAAACTTGCATCATCACAGCAGCATCATGTGACATATTGTGACTTTTTTCCCCTTCACTAAACTGGGTGTGGGTGTGGCCAGTACGTGACGCATCTGGCCTGCAGGCCACAAGTTTGACAGCCCTGTTAAAGAGGAAATAGTCCAATTCTATAAAATCGATCCCACTTGTTGCTATAACAGCTAGAATGTTTCTGCTCAGCACTTTCTCATTCAGATCATCTTTCCATTTATCTTGCACCTACCTTAAAAAACAAATATGATTCCACATCTCAGTACAGGTACTCCTCGACTTATGACACAATTGAGCCAATTTTTGTTGTTAAGCAAGGCATTTGTTAAGTGAGCTTTGCCTCATTTTACAACCTTTCTTGTCACAGTTAAGTGACTCACTGCAGTTGTTAAATTAGTATTTGCTTTCTGGCCTCCATAACAGGACATGGATGTGTTATTCTTAAGGGCAATCTGTGTGTGAGAATCTGTGAGATAGGAATGCCGTAACTTTCCATTCCAGTCTAGATTCAGCTGCTTCTTACTACAAATTCTGCGACATAAAATGTTCCTATTAAACAAATGGGTGCTTCTCCAGGCAAATTACTGGTGCAAAAGCTCTCATCTTTCCAATTTGGAAGGCTTCCATGCCTCACTTCAGTTTCAGTCCTGATTGTCCCATCTCAGAGGACTTTGGGAAAGGAAAATCCAATCATTGCAAACAACTGATATAATTAATTTCAGCTCCCAGATTCTCTATCCAGAGAAATGCATCTTTTAGCAGGAACTGCACATCTCGTGCAACGTGCAATTTTAGTACGAGCTTGCATAAATTGGTATAGCTGGGCATTCACTTATCCAAATACTCTAGTGCAACATATGTCCAAAAACCCAAGATTTTTCATCCAGATTTATGTCATCTCCCTTGCCTAACAGAAAAGCTCTTTGCAGAAAACTAAATATTTGCTGGAATAAACCCAATTTATAAAGCAATAAATTGCAGCCAAACAACTAACAGAATAACAGAACTGGAAGGAACCTTGGAGATCTTCTAGGCCAGGGTTGCCAACCTTTTGGACCTCAGGGACCACCAAACTCATAATTTTAAATCCCGCAGACCAGAGACCCTGGCAAAAAACCCCAAAAAGTCTGCAGGAAAATTCCCCACCCTGTTTTCCCACCGATCATTTTTATTTGGGATCGCACGATACAGCTCCATTCGAGAGGGAGACTTTTGGCTTCATGCAAGGAAAGCAGCAGAAACAGCAGAAGTCGTTCTTTCTCTCCCGCAAACTCCGCCAAAGATGAGTCTTTGTGAGACGTTGCACCGGTGTAGCCTCTTGGAGCAGGATGCCTTGCAGGGTCCCAAAGACTCATTTCTGGCAGAGTTTGAGGGAGAGAAAGACTTTTGCTGCTTTCCTTGCATGCAGCCAAAAGCAGAAGAAAGAAGCAGAAAGAAGCAGCCCGATGGCCAGGCCAGGCCAGGCGCGTGGGGTGAGTGGGGCAAATCCCCCTCCTTTGCCCTTTCCCCCTCCCCTCACTACCTCATGTTTTAAGCAATGCAAGCCTTGTGTTCCCACGGGCCATGTGGGCGGAGCAGCCTTGTGTTCCCGCACAGCCTGGATTAATTGCTTTGGGGGTGACATTTCTCTGCGGACCACCATCATTTTCTCACGGACCACCAGTGGTCCCCAGCCCACTGGTTGGTGACCACTGTTCTAGGCCAACCCCCTTCTTAAGCAAGAATCTTTATACAATTTTAGACATACGGCTGTCCAATCTCTTAAAAACCTCAACTTCTGGAAGCAAGTTGTTCCACTGATTGTTCTTTCAGGAAATACAGAACTAGTCTTATTAGACAAAGCAATGCAGCAGTATTTCTCAACCTCAGCCCCTTTAAGATCTGTGGACGTCAACTCCCAAAGTTCCCCAGCCAACCTTAAAAAAGTAGTTCTTAGTCTTTGGACCTTCAACACACTTTTATTTAATTCACAACTGAAACCTTTTAAACTGGATCCAAGTGCTGTAAAAGAACATTTAGCCACCAGCATTTAGATAAAATGTCTGTTAACCTCTGCACTCTATGTGCATTTGGGGTGATAGAGGAGGTCTCCCTGGCTGGAGGCTCCATCTGATGAAAAAAGGTTATTACCTCTCCATGTTCAGTTTAGATGCTGTATACTGAAGCTAGAATTTATTCCATGTCAATTTTAAATGTTAACTATCTAGCAAAGTATTATCTTCTCGTGAGGAACTTAGAATGAATGAAAATTTGAGGTGTTCAGAACTTTGTTGCTTCTGCCAATAAGGGAGGCTTGTAACACACCACAGATGGGCACATACAGCTAGATCAGCATTGCACAGAAGTGTAATATAAAGAGCCATGGTGGCACATTGGTTAGAATGCAGTATTGCAGGCTAGCTTACTGCCAGCAGTTTGATCCTGACTGACTCAAGGTTGACTCAGCCTTCCATCCTTCTGAGGTCAGTAAATGAGGACCCAGATTGTTGGAGGCAAGATGCTGACTCTATAACCTGTAAACTGCTTAGAGAGGGGTGTAAAGCACTACAAAGCAGTGTATAAGTCTAAGTGCTATTGCTGTCTGTCTGTCTGTCTGTCTATACAACTCTTGTTAGAACAAGAAACACCTGTCTCTTGAGAACATAGTTTTTCTCAAAAGGCAGGTGTTTCAAATTCTAAGACTTGTACAGAGGGAGGGAGGGAGGGAAGGGAGAGGGAGGGAGGGAGTGACTGTTCAATATTACAATGGCACTTTAAAAAGTGACTTATAACCATTTTTCACAATCCCATGTTGTTAAGTGAATCTGGCTTCTGCATTGATATTGCTTGTCAGAAATTTGCAAAAGACGATTACACCACCCAGGACACAGAGAGGAAAAGATTACATGCTGTAAGGCAACCAGCAACTCCATAGCCGAACAAATGTCAAGGGAGTCTTTTGATGCGGTATTTTAAATTTTCCAAAAAACAGAATTCAGTGTCTCCAACCTGCCTTTTGTCTTTTCCCCTGATGTAGAGAATCACAGAGGTGATTTTGGAAAAGACAACAGAGACTGTTAGCAAAATATGAGTTAATGCCAGGGAAGAAAGAAACTTAGTGACTCTATTTGACATTCTTGATGTAAGAGGGAGAGAACAGGAAACACTACCAGACTTTCAAGATTCTGTTACTCAAATCTATTTACCAGAATAACAGTTGAAAGGGACCTTGGAGGTTTTCTAGTCCAATCTCTGCTCAAGCAGGAGATGTTCTATCATTCTGGATAAATAGCTGTCCAGTGTCTTCTTAAAAACCTCCAGCTTAAAAACCTACAACTTCTGGTGGCAAGCCATTCCACTGATTGTTCTGTCAGGAACTTTCTGAGTTCTAGGTTGGATCTCTCTTTGGCCTTCCACCTGTTACTGTTATGTCCTGCTTTCAGTTTCTTTGTAGAATATGTTGTCCCACTCTTCTCTGTGACAGCCCCTCAAATATTGGAACACTTCACTCCTAGTTCTCCTTTTCATTAGACTAGACATACCCAGTTCCTGCAACTATTCACCAGGTTTTAGTTTCCAGTGGCCCTTGTTGCTCTTCTCTGCACTCTTTCTAAAGTCTCAACATCTTTGTTGTGACCAAAACTGGACATAGTATTCCATTTTTAAATAATTTAATGTATGGCACATGTTAGCCAGGGATCACTGAGGTGGCTGGCTGCCTCTGTGAAAGGAATTTTTTCAGGTGGTGTTATCTTTACCCACGGGATGCCTGAATACCGGTTGGCATTCAGGGGAGACCTCTTTCTTGTCCTTCCACTGTTTATTTGCTCAAGGAAATCAAGCCACTGAGCTGCCGACCTCAGCACTGCACAGGCCCAGAATCTTACCACGTGAGCCATCGCAGCCCCATAGTATTCCAAGTGTGGTCTTATCAAAGCAATCTGAAACTGTTCCACATTATTTCTGGTGATGTCTCTATCCTGACCTGATGTAATTTGAAGTGTCGAAATCCAGCCTGGTACTTTTAATATACTTGACCCCATTTCATTCACTCAAACAAAGAAAGACTAGACAAGCCTTTGTGCTTTTAAAATTTATTTAGTATTCTTAGTGCCAAATTTCTAGCCCTCTCCCACAATTTTACCACCATTAGTGCAAATTATTTTAATAGAATTCAGACTACAACAATAGTAGGCCTTAGTAGGTTTAAGTCTTCACTTTCAGAAGCCCAGACTAAAGAAAGAGAACAGTCAATATGACTTTGTCTTTTAAACCAAACACACTGTGAAAAGGTGTTATAATCAAGGTAGAGTGGCATCAGCAAAATTAAATGGTCCAAAATTTCTAATGTCAGACATTCTTTTCCACTGTTGTTGCCTTTATATTAAAGAGGAAATGATGCCCTAGAGTCAACAGCCATGAAATCTGATAAAGAATAGCATTACAGAGTTAAGCCATTTAGCTAATGACTTAATGAACATTATTGTGATGCAGAAAATGCCAATAATTTAAACAAAAATCCTCTGAACACATTAGATGCTCTTTTGATGCAGCAATAACCAATGAAAATTTAACTTTACAGCATTGTCCATGGCACTAAGGTGCTAAAGACTGCACCCTTTCCCCACCACAAATACAAATCAACATTGAAACAAAACATGAAAAAAAATAAACAAAATCTCCTTGCTGACCACAACACGGTTAGCAAATGGAACAGTATGGTAGAAGGACAAGAAATGAACCATCTAACATAAAATGCTGGAAGAGTTGTGGATAACCTTTAGATCAGGGGTCTCCAATCTTGGCCACTTTAAGATTTATGGATTTCAATTCCCAGAATTCATGTTCTGGCTAGGAAATTCTGGGACTTGTAAGTCCACAAGTCTTAAAAGTTGCCAAGGTTGAAGACTGCTGGTTTAGTTTAAATTCTAGGCAGTTGGATGTGCCATGGCATTCTGGGAATTATAATTCCAAATAGGGGAAGGCCCCCAGATTTGATCCTTCTGAATCTACATGCTTTGAGCTATACAATGTGGTTGCGGTGAGGTGGATGAGGTGACGTAGTTAACCTGGTGGAAATGGCTGGGATTGATATTGTTATGGATTCGAGCTGAGTTCCCATAGGATGCATTGACTGGATACCAAGAACTGATGCAGTGGTATGCAGGCACAAATGAGACACAAGACTCATATCCTGGCACAGGAGACGGGGTGTATGTGTCTGTTACCACAGGGTAATAGACAGTTCCAGAAGGTGAAGAGGATTCTGGGATGGCTAAGGCACCTGAAAAAGAGGAAAACATTGCACATAAAAGATCAGCAGAGGATGCATTTCTTGGACCTTTAAATAATTAAATGGTTAAGGTCCTAAACATTGTTCTAATTATCAGACTGGAAATTGATTGTAAAGAAATGTTTGGAGTTGCTTAATTGATCTCATTGAACCTAATTCTATATATCCTTTACTGACCTCAATAAAGGTATTGTTTTAAAGGACTAAATCTTAGGCCACTGAACTAAATCATGGCTTGCACTGCTTTCTTACAGAACAGAATCAATTAAATCAGTGGTTCTGAACCTTTTCTTCACCAGGGACCCCCCTTTAAATACCTTTTGTGGCCATGAACCCCCAGAAATATTTTAATCATGTTTCTTCAAGCCTTCATGGACCCCATGTGATAACATCATGGACCCCCAAGGATGCACAGACTGAGAACCACTGAATTAAATCACATGTACACATGTGTCAAGACCTCTGTTTTCTTCATCTTCTTCATCCCCTAATGATTAATTCATTTTTTTTCATTGCTTGTTATAGAATACCTTTATTGTCATTGCATTCCATGAATAGAATGAAATTTGAAAGCTACTCCAGCACAGTGCCCCAAACACCACATCATAATCACACTAGAGTATTTAAAAATTAAAATAATAATAATAATAATAATAGGACTAAATCACAAATGCATTGTTTGATTCAAGACAATTACTGCCTTGGAAAAGAAACTGTTTCTCAGTCTATTAGTCCTCATTTTAAGACACCTCATGCCACCAAGTCTTCTCAATCATGGAACCCTTTTCCAGAATCTGTCCCCAGCTTGGTTTTTCAGACCTTACAACAGTGATTTGAATTATATAACTATATTAGGTGGATTTATCTGTCAATTAAACCCATCAGTCTCTCCCAATTTATCAACCACCACTGTACTGGAAAACTTCCATCATCCTCCCCTACCTGATACAACAACCATGCTGAGTGGATGAGAGCCAGTTTGGTCTGGTGGTTAAGGCACCAGGCTAGAAACTGAGAGACAAGTTCAAATCCCTCCTTGGCCATGAAAGATGGCTGGGTGACTTTGGGCTAGTCACTCTCTTTCAACCCACCTTGCAGGGTTGTTGTGGAGAAAATAGGAAGAGAAAGCTATGTTCTGTACATTCGCTTCCTTGAGTTATTTGAAAAAATAATAAAAGTTGGATACAAATAAATAAATAACCAAGTGTCCGGACAATATCAAACTGGGTTAAAGTTGTACTACAGTAATCCTCAACTTAGAACCATTGATTTAGTGACTGTATGAAGACTGTATAATGGTGTTGAAAAATGTGACTTACGACTTTTTCACACAACTATTGCTGCATTCCTGCAGCCATGTGATCAAAATTGGCCACTGGCATGTATTTATGACCTACTGACAAGCAAAATCAAGGGGGAAGCCAGATTCACTTAACAACCATGTTAGTTTCTTAACAACTGCAGTGATTCACTTAACAATTGTGGCAAGACAGGTTATAAAATGGAGTAAATCTTGCTTAGCAATAGAAATTATGGACTCAATTGTGGACAAAGCCAAGGACTACATGTACATATTGCAATTTGCAAGATTGTCAATTTTAGCTAACTGCATAAAATCCTCATCTCTTCCACAGCACGCACTGTATGTTGAAGCACACATAAAAAAACAGAAAGCAAATTATTATTGCTGCTGTTACTCATGTTGAAGCATGAAATTCCATTCCTGCAGTACCATAATTGCAAAGCAAATACTTAATTCAGCGATCCCAGTGACTGAATAAATCTATGTTCCAACAGTGTTTAGTATGAACTGAATATGTGCTAAATGAGGAACCTTTCCACGATGAACTGTGTGTCACGTGTTCTGCCACAGAATTGCTTTCCCTCAGGTGCTTTTTTTAAAAACAAAATAAAACCTCAGAGCAGCTCCAAGGAATATCTCCTGGCAGGAAAGAGAATGGTTCATTTTTCTTATCAAAAAGAAAAATGCTATTTCTCACCACAGCTGTCTTTTTTCCCCTCCATGCTCCTCAGGGAGAAAATATATTAGTATTACTGCAAAGTCTGGAATTATTATTAAAATTGGAAAGTGGCAGACTTGTAACTGGATTATTGAAGGAAACTATAATCCAAAGCTCAGGATAACTGAGGAGCTTAGTTCTTTGCCTAGCCTAGAGCAGGTAGAAGCTCAATCTTCTTTTGAATATTTTGACTGATATTCAAAAAGTATACAGAGAAATACAGGTAGTCCTCAACTTATGACCACAATTGAGCCCAAAGTTTCTGTTGCTAAAGGAGACAGTTGTTAAGTGAGTTTTGCCCCAGTCTGCCATGCCACAGTTAAATGTATCACTGTACTTATTAAATGAATCTGGCTTCCCCACCGATTTTGCTTGTCAATAGGTCATAAAAGATAACCACATAACCCCATCATATATACGAACCAGTTGCCAAGCCTCCATTTTTTATCATATGACCATGGGGATGCTGCAACAGTTTTAAGTGTGAAAAACGGTCATAAATCCGTTTTTTTTCAGTGCTGTTGTATCCTTGAACAGTCACTAAACAAATGGCTGGAAGTCAAGGACTACCTATACTTACAGCAGATGAATCCCACAATTAGATACTACACACACAAAAAAGAAAACAGCAAATTACTTCCATCTTGTTACATAACTATGTCCTGACGAGTCATCAGGAATTCAGCTGAGTATCTTTATCATTTTAAATTATTCAGGGCAGTGCAATGACTCAGTAGTTAGGTTAAGAAGTTGAGCTTGTTGACTAGAAAACCATAGCCCAGGTTCGAGACCCGAGTGCCGCAAGATTGGGGCAAGCTCCCATCCTTGCCCAACTCCTTGCCCAGCTCCCACTTTGGTGAAAAGCTATCAGTGCTCCATGACTGGCCATGTGACCACAGAAATGTCTTCAGACACCGCTGTCTCAATGGCTTTGAAATAAAGTTGAGCACTGCCCTGTCAGCAACAACTAGCAGAGTAATATCCACAGGGACTCTCTTACCTTTACCTTTTTAAACTATTCAAAGGCTATATTAGATCTACAAAATCCTTTTGTTTTGATCTTGTTTACCAGAGTCTCACTGTACTGGTAAAGAATGAGTTAATTATGCTTCTTTTCATTATTATTATTTTAGACCAAAATGGTCTAAAATGAAATAAAATAGTAACTTTATCATTAATGAAGTTACTAGAAGGAATTATGCTATAAAGAGGTAAAAAAAAGTTCAAAAAAATCAGACAGACAAACAGGTTAACAAAATTGTTGGCAGCAATAGGCTGACTCTCTAAACCGCTTAGAGAGGGCTGTAAAGCACTATGAAGCAGTATATAAGTCTAAGTGCTATTGCTATGACTTGGCCTCAAACGGGCCATTCATCACTCTGGTTGAACGCTGGGTGGAAGCTATGAATGTATCAGTAATCCTTGACATATGATCACAATTACGACCAGAATTTGTTAAACTCTCTTAACAAATGTCTCACTTATCAACAGAAATTTTGAGCTCAATTAAGGTAATACTACCTGTATTGAATTTGCCATGCCGAATTTAAGTTGGTGACACTCAACTCAACCTTCTTAAACTTAAAATAGACAGAGACCAACCGGTTGATGAGGCGTCTGCAGGCATCTGGCTCAGATCGTTCCTCTCTACTTCATTGTAAGGCAGAGGTGCTGATGAATCAACCACAGAGACTTGCTCTGAATAGGTCTGGTAGGTTTCCACATGAGGTGGTGGTGACGGTGATTGCTGTACATACATCACGGGGTTCCAGTAGGTCTGGTGGTAATACTAACACAATTCAAGGCAAGAAAAACAAATTTTAAATAGGTAAGTTACTTCTGCCCAGGCTGGCAAAGTAGCTTTTAAAATCTGACCGTTTAGATCTACTTAAGAAGTACCCTGCATAAATCAACTGTTTTACACAAGACACTGGATCCAGGACAAAACACAACTTAATCCTAGTCAGCAGACCATTTACAGGAATGCTTTGTTCTAAAATGTGGACAAACTGTTTAGTGGCAGCCTAAAATTCTTTCCAAACTGAATTTTTTTCTCTTTAGCAAGATTTATTTGAGATGGAAGAGGTAAGGTTACAGGAATCAATAGAGCTATTTGCTGTTTATAAACTATTTAGTTACAGTATTACTTATAATAACCATCAGAGTGGCATGGTGGTTAGAATCCAGTGTTGCAGGCTAACTCTGCCAGGAGTTCGATCCTGACCAGCTCAAGATTAATTCAGCCTTCCATCCCTCCGAGGTCGGTAAAGAGAGGACCCAGATTGTTGTGGGGCAATATGCTGACTCTGTAAACTGCTTAGAAAGAGCTGTAAAAGCACTGTGGAGCGGTATAGAAATCTAAGTGCTATTTAAGTGCTATTACAAATCTGATACAAAGATGACTATCCAACAACTGAAAGAAGCTGTGCTTGACAGGGTATCATAAAGAGCACCTGCCTATAAAGTCACCAAGAGTTGGACACAACTAAATGGTTAAAACAACAACCTTTACAAAGGAGCAGAAATTATTTTTCTGTGCTTTATGTGTGAGACAAATAATACAGAAGAAGAATGGGAATCTATTTCTTTTGTAAACATTAACAAAAAAAGAAAATGGGCATGCTCTAAGGAAGTAATGTAACTCTTGTCATACCCATCAGCACTGCTTCTCTTACAATCTGCTTGTCAGCACTGGGAAATATTTACCTAACTAGAGAGCAGCAGCTTAGGAAGTCAGCATGGATAAAAGCAATATATTTATAATCTTTTAAGAACAGCTGCAGGTCTTGTGTAGACTTCAAACAAAGATTCCCTGTCAGACTTCAGAAAATTCTGAAAAACATCTGCATCTACCAAAGACTGACATCCCACTCTCACAAAAGGTGGTTGTACCACTAGACTTTTATAGAGCACCTACCTGCAAGCCCAAATTAAAATAATACTGCAAAACCTTTGGATCTAAAAAAGAAAAAAACTTGGTCACTGCATTTCATATACATCCTAGAAGGTGTGAATATTTGCATTTTTCTCATGTTTGTCCATCAAAATTACTTTACATATATTTTCTCCCACATAGTTAGCATTTAAATATTAGTTTACTAAACAACTGTGGTTACAAAATCAATTTTAGAAAAATCCATTAGTTTGATTAATTCTGCACTGGGAGAGAGCATTGTGGTGTTTTTGTAGTTATACTTGCTTGACTTATGACCCCAACTGGGATCAAAATTTCCCTTGCTAGGCAAGGCAGTTGTTAAGTGAGATGTGCCCGATTTTACAACTGTTTTTGCTATGGTTGTTAAGTGAATCACTGCAATTATTAAGTGAATCCATCTTCCCCTTTCAAAAAAGGGCAGATGTAGTTCAGTTCATATTCAGGTGGTCCTTGATCTACAACCACAATTGTGACCAGAATTTCTGCCGATAAGCAAGGCAACTTTTAAGTCACGCCCAATTTTGCCATGATTATTAGGTGAATTGTTTCAGTTAAGTGAATCATGTAGCCATTAAGTGAATCAAGCTTCCTACACTGACTTTGCCTGTCAGAAGTTTTCTGGGAAGGTCGCAAATGGGGATCTCGTGACCCTGGGATGCTGCAACCATCATAAATATATGCCAGTTGCCAAGCAACCAAATTTTGATCACATGATCATGGGGATGCTGCAATGGTTTAAGTGTGGGGACCTGTCATAAATCACTTTTTTCAGTGCTTGGAAACGGTTGTTAAATGAACAGTTGTAGGCAAGGACTACCAGTAGAGGAGGTATCTATGACATCAGGTGAACCAAAATCTGCAATGTGTAGACTATAAAGGAATAGAAACAAAAAAGAAAAGAAATGTGCATAACACCTAGAAAAACAACTAAGTCTGACAGCTAAATTTTCCAGCTCGGTTTCTCACAAGAATTATTATATGCCAACTGTTAGGACAGATCACAGCATGGGAAAAATACATTATTGAATCATCCTTCTGCAATCTATTTCACCTTTTCATGTGTATACTTTACTTTTAAACCATTGAATGTTAGAACCCCCTGTCCTAAATATTTATGTAACACCACAGATTAGCAGAAGCACAAGAGGGAAGCTAGAAACTGAATAGCCCATTTTCCTTTCTAAGTTGTTGTTGCCTGATTTGCTTTCTGTGTACCTGCTGTTTCTTTTGCAACATGCACAAGCAACAATAAGGAACAATTTAGTGGGAACCTTAGTGTTAAATATTCAGCTAAAAAAAACAGAAAACTTCGTTGCATAATGCATATATTGATGTAATTTGCAGCTGCTAGTTTTGAAGATAAAATCTAACTAATGTTATACTTATTAACACCAGCATTTCAAAGCATATTATACTTTTTAAAAATTTTATACAACACACCACATAAATTCTATTTGCAAATTATACTTAGGAGAGATTGGACAACCATTTGTCTGAAATGGTATAGGGTTACCTGCTTAATCAGGGGGTTGGACTTGAAGACTTCCAAGGTGCCTTCCAACTCTGTTATTCTATTTATATTTATTAACTTCAATATTTGAAAGCTTGGTCAATACTGCTATAGCCTTTTAAAAATCTAATACAACATACATTCTATTTGCAAATATAGAGTTGAAGCAAGCATATTGCCTTGTAACTGGCTTTCAATTTATTTGATTACAGTCAATTCCTGACCCACCATGTGCAGGTACTCCTCAGTGTACAATGGCAATTGGGATTGAAACCGCCATTGCTAAGAAACATGGTCATAAAAGTGTGATATCACATGAGCAGGCTGTTTTAAGCAAGGAGTACGTGGATTTTTAAGTGAGGACCTCATGTGACTGCAACTTTTGACTTTCTGTCAGCTTCCCCATTGACTTTGTTTGTGGAATGCTCTCAGGGAACAGCAGAAATCACAATTACATAACTGTGGGGATGCCACAACAGTCAAAACTCTGACTGGTCATAAATACCAGTAGTTCAGCACTATTGTAACTTTCAACAGTCACTGAATAAATGGTCATAACTCAAGGACTCCCTATTTGCAAACTTCAAATGAAATACAACTCTGAAGTCATGGAGTTCCTATTAAAAAGCTTGTTTTCTTTGCAAAACAGCCTCAGCATTTTTTTTCTACCATAGTGGATTTGGAAAAGGGAGAACTATATAATTAAGCCATTTTCCTAATCCATTCCCTCTTATAATGTGTTTGATGGATAGCTTTTTACACCAATGAAACTCAGATAGCACCAATGCCAAAGCTTAGAGAGACAAAACCAGTTGGTCTATTTCAAACTGTATTCCAAACACTTGGATACATCCATGATTATATTTCCCTTGTCACAGCAGTTAAGCAAAAGCACATTTAATACAACTCCATATTTTAAATTCATACTCTTACAAAAATATGCCTTTAAACATATCTGAAGGATTTCTCCAAGCCAAAATAACTGAATCAGAATTTTCTGGCATTCAAAACCTGCTAGATAATGAAGTCCCACATTGTACTTTAATCTGGATAGTCCAAACTAGTTAATGCATATATAAAATGTAATTCCATAAGCATCTCTAAAATTGACTCATTTTATGCAGCTAAAATTACTCCCAAGTGTCAGAGAAAATGATATCTTACCTCTAGGCAGGTCACTTCCACTCGGATCACAAGAATAAGGGGGTGTAACATTGCCATTTCCCCCCACATCACTGGCAGGAGGAAGGGGAGGTGACTGATACACTGACACAACTATTTGAAAAGTGGGGAGACAAATGTTAAATTCATTTTGAAAGCAGTGGAATCCACAAAACAGACCCTAAAATTTATGCAATGAATCCATTGGGGAAATTTAAGTAATCCCACTCAGAGTTCTCAAAATAAATTTAAACTGGATCAACAATCCAAGTCAAATTGAGAACCTAAATAGATCTGATCTTGCTGTCTCTGCCAAGTATCTTCTAAAATATGGAATGAAGTCAAAATTTTGCACATACAAATGAAAAAACACAGTATAACCAACCCCTTAAAAGGCTCTATTCTGAAGGATTTGACTTAGAAACATACGATTGAAAGTGACTGTGAAGATCTTCTGGTCCCATCCAACTCAAGGCAAGAGACAATAAAACCATCTCAGTGAAATGGTTATCTAGTCTACTCTTGAAAATCTCTAGCAATGGAGCACCCACAAGCTGTTCCTTTGACTAATTGTTCTTCTTCCCTATAACTTTATTGCCTAAGTACATTTGGCTCCTCCAGAAGATCAAGTGAACTTACTTCAATGTCTCTGGACTAAACAATCATTCTTATTCAAAAACCATCTGGTAGTCAGGAACCATAAACTCTAAGCATTTTTCAGAAATACTTCAAGTGAAATCAATACTCTACCTGGCCTTCCTAGAGAAGAGGTTACTAAGATCGGTGGCACAGCATTCTGGGGAGCAGATGCAGTGATAGTGACTTGAGTTGAAGCACTGCAGCTGGAGGAAAAAATGGTGGCTGGAGCTGTATTCACACAGGAAGAGCTGGATATAATGGCAGAATTTACCATGAGCTATGAAAGAAGAGGCAGAAGGGTCAGCATCTTTTCACCAAATGGCAAAATTCAAACATAAAACACAAGGCATCTTGGGAACAAATGATTTTGCAGTATGAAGTATTTTCTGATGGAATTAATAGATTTCAATTTAATTAACCCAATTTGAGTGTAACAGTATAGTTTAGCATTACTAGCATGCATGCTGATAAGAGTTGCATCAGTGAGTGAAATGAGCTGTGTATAAATTTAATAAATAATACTTATAATAAACTAATAAGTAATAAGTAAAAATTCACTTCTAAACTTCTTATCTGAATGCCATATGGGCCAAGTAACTCTAATTTTAAAACATCCTAAATTTTGTCAACCTAGTGGAGTATGAATTTTCTGAGGTGAATTACAGAGATATCTGCTATAACATCATTTGCAATGAAATCTGATACAAAACATTAGCAATTTTCTGATTTTTCTTCAAACTACTCTGGCCTTTAAGAAGCCACCATGGTTGTATAAATGACACAGCTTTGAAGCAGCTGGGTTGGGGGGTACCACTGGGGAGGAAGGAACATACTTTGATATGGAAGAGAAAGTAACTAAATTGGTATTTGAATGATGATATGGCAGACAGAGTAACTAAATACTATGATCAATACAATTAGCGTGATTAATCCCCTTGAATAATTTTCTCCTGAAGCCACATTAAACACTGGAGAAGTGTTTCTCAACCTCAGCAACTTTAGGAGGTGTGGACTTCAACTCCCAGAATTCCCTTGCTAGCCAATTTTAGAAGTTGGAGTAACAGAATAACAGAATTGGAAGGAACCTTGGAGGTGTTTTAGTTCAATCCACTGCAGGAGGCCCTATACCATTCCAGACAAGTGACTGTCCAATCTCTTCTTCTCAAAAACTTCCAGTGATGCAACTTCTGGAGGCAAGCTATTCCACTGGTTAATTGTTCTGTCAGGAAATTTCTTCTTAGTTCTAGGTTGCTTCTCTCCTTGATTAATTTTCATCTGTTGTTTCTTGTCCTGCCTTCAGGTGCTTTGGAGAGGGTTGACCTCCCCCTTTCTTTGGGGCAGCACCTCAAATATTGGAAGACTGCTGTCACCCCAGTCCTAGTTGCTCTTCTCTCTATTCTTTCTAGAGTCTCAACATCTTTTACATGACACGGTCCACACATCTTAAAGATGTCGAGGTTGTGAAACACAGCACTGGAGTTTGAAGACAACTTTGGAGAAATTCAATAGTGAATTTCCATTTTAGTTACCTAAATGTCTCATTTCTTTTCTCAAAGTCAAGTTAAAATGTTTGTTTCACAAACACTTTTGAGATCTTCAGAACAGTGAAACTCTTCTTGACACCAAGTTATGTCCCCAGAAAAATTTACCTTCTGAGAGTAACTGTAGGAGGTAGCTGCTTCCTGAGAAGAGACACAATTTGCTCCTGCATCCTGCAAAGACTAGAAAATTCATTTTAGAAAGAATGAGCAAAAGAAATGAGATGTCAACCTTATGCTATGTTATTAAAGGGTCACTTGGGCTAATGAAAAACAAGAGCTATTAAAGAGTTTTCAGAGAGATGAAAACGGCTAAGTCTTTGAATATACATGTTCTGTGCCAAACTCTGAATTTTGTTTTCTGTTGAATCCCATTATCCAAATCCACCGCAAGACAGGGATTTATGTTCTGATATGCAGCTACTTCCAAACCAAACTTTTTGTATTCTTGTTTTGGTCAAACTGATGCTGTTCAAATGTTCTGGACTTCAGGTCTATGATTTCCATGCATATCTAGAAGGCAGCAGGTTAATAAAGGAGGTCTTTGAACTATGGGGGTTCCTTGATGCTCTCTGAGCTTGCTTGTTTTCTTTTCTTTTTTGCAAAAGTTTTTTTTATTTTTACAACAAAAACAACAAATAAAACCATCTTTCAATTTTACAGTGTGTCGGTTGGGTACATATATCTTGTGCGCATAGTAATATTATTATACATTTCTTATATATTCTCTCTCTCTCTCTCTCTCTCTCTCTCTCTCTCTCTCTCTCTCTCTATATATATATATATATATATATATATATATATATATATATATATATGGATCTTTGGTTGTTCGGGTTTTCCGCCGCGTAAGATTCGAAGTATCTAGGCAACGTTTCGATGAAGTCTCATTCATCTCTTCAGGCTTCTGTCTCCGGCTCTGTGCTTCTCAGAGTAATGTGAGATTGCAGCTGCTTCCTCCTTTTAACTGCCAGTGGGGGTGGGACTTGATTGGGTGGGGGCTTGGCTGTGTTCTGATTGGGTGGGGGTGTGTTCTCATTGGTAGGGGGTTTGGCTGTGTTCTGATTGGTTGGGGGGTTAGCCGTGTTCTGATTGGTTGGAGGCGTGTTCTGTTCAGGTGGGGGCTTGGTTGTGCTCAGGTTAGTCTTAGTTGCTGCTTAGTTGCTTAGTTACTGCCTACCAATGAGAACACACCCCCACCCAATCAGAACACAGCCAAGCCCCCACCCAATCAAGTCCCACCCCCACTGGCAGTTAAAAGGAGGAAGCAGCTGCAATCTCACATTACTCTGAGAAGCACAGAGCCGGAGACAGAAGCCTGAAGATGATGAATGAGACTTCATCGAAACGTTGCCTAGATACTTCGAATCTTACGCGGGAGAAAACCCGAACAACCAAAGATCCACATACAAATACCCGCGAGAACCTCAGAAAACATATATATATATATATATACACACACACACACACACACACACACACACACACACACTCACACACATAATAGACCATTCTAATTAACATTCTATACCATCTTGTTCCATTATTATATTATCATTAACATTATAATTTCAGTTCTATATTATCTTTCAAAAACAAACCCCATCCTTGCAAAGCTATATTCATATTCTTATTCATTTAGAAATAATCAATTATAGTATATTATTACTGTTACCACATATTTCAGTTTCTTACTCTTCTAACCATTCATAAAATAAATCCCAAATCTTATAATACCCCTTTTCTTCCTATTCCCTAATTGCCATTGTTAGTCTACTCATTTCCACACATTCCATTGTTTTCTTAATAGTTTCCTCCTCTATCAGAATTTTCTCATTTTTCCAATTTTGTGCAAATACAATTCCAGCCTTAATAAATCTATCTCCAAGCCTATCTCCTCCAGTTGCAACAACATAAATTGCCAGTTGACATTGTCAAAAGCTTTTTCTGCATCTAGAAAAACCAAAGCCATTTGTTTCTCTGAATGTGCTTCGTAGTATTCCAGTGTATTCAATATTATCCTCATACTGTTTTTTATTTGTCTCTTAGGCAGAAATCCATTTTTAATCTGAGTGTATAAAGTGATTCAAATAACTTTTAAGTTTTTCTGTCATTATTGAGGCAAATATGTTATAGTCTGCATTTAGCAGGGATATTGGTCTATAATTTTTTATTTGTTGTAAATCGGTATCTTCCTTTGGTATAAGTGTAATGTATGCCTCTGTCCATGTATCAGGAACTTTATTTTTTATCAAAACCTCATTCATTACTTCAAGCATTGATTCCTGTAATGTCTTATAAAATTCTGCTGGTAACCCATCTAGGCCAGGAGCTTTCCCAGTGTATTGTCTATTTATTGCTTCAGTCAACTCCATCACTGTTATTTTCTCTTCTAATATTGTCTTAGTTTCATCAGGTATTTTTGGTAATTCTGCTTCTCACAAATACTGTTTAACTTTCCATTCTGCGATAGTCTCTTGCTCATATAATTTCTCATAATACTTCTGCACTATTTTTTTTCTTCATTTCGATAGTATACTGTTCCATTTTCATCTATTAATTATGCTATTCTTTTCACTTCCCTCTCTTTTTTCAGTTTGTATACCATCCATGTTTGTATACCTGGTTTATTTGCATTTTTGAAAAAGTTCTGTTTAGCTCTCCTAATTTTTTGTGCCAATTCTTCTTTTTCCATTAGTCCCATTTTATGTTTAACTATATCCATTTGCTTTTTAAGATTCTTATGCTGTGGATTTCATTGTAATTCTTTTTCCTATTTCTTATAATCCTCTTCTAAGATCTGTTGTGTTATTTTTATATTCCTTCTTCTTATATAAGTTATAATCACACCTCTAGTATATAGCTTGCTTGTTTTCTTGCAGATATTTCATTATCCAAACTTGATAACAGTGCTGCACTAATGATGTTACTCAGGGATGGGATTCAAATTTCTTAACAATCAGTTCTGTGAGTGTGGCCTAATTTGTGGGTGTGGCTGGGTAGGCATGTGACTGGGTGGACGTGGCTTGCTGACTGGGAATGGCTTGATGGTCATGTGACTGCGTGGGCAGGGCTTTTATGTAAATATTATAAATATTTATGTAAATATTGATGTTTTATATAAAAAATAACAACTTTTACCCAAAAGCAGGCAAAGCAGGCAGGCAGATTGAATTGCTCACAGAATCACAGATTAACTTAGAGATCTATCTGCAATTGGCTACCTGAGTCTGTCACATAAAATTTGCTTGCAAGCAAACTCACAAAATCAACTCACAACACACCATGTATGTATGTATAAACACACACACACACACACATCATATATATATATATATGGATCTTTAGTTATTCAGGTTTTCTCCCGCGTAAAATTGGAAGTATTTTGGCGACGTTTCGACGAAATCTCATTCGTCATCTTCAGGCTTGTGTCTTCGGCTTTGTGCTTCTTGGAGTAATGTGAGCTTGCAGCTGTTTTTTCTTTTAACTGCCAGTGGGAGTGTGACTTGACTGGGTGGGGGCTTGGCTGTGTTCTGATTGGGTGGGGGTGTGTTCTCATTGGTTGGGGGCCTGGCTGTGATCTGATTGGTTGGGGGGTTGGCTGTGTTCTGATTGGCTGGGGGTTTGTTCTGTTCAGGTGGGGGCTTGGCTCTGTTCAGGTTAGTCTTAGTTGTTGGGGGATTTGAGCTGGTGAGCTGTGATCCTGTTGTTTGGCTTCACCTTCATGGTCGTGCCACATCTTCATGTTGGGCGTCAGTTTGTTCATGCATGGGTCAGAGGGGTTTGAAGCGGGTAGTGATGCAGCTGCGGTATGGCTTCTGGTCTGTGGTTGTGTCTCATCATCTGTGTGGGTGTGAATCTGCTTTCTTCGTGGAAGTGTGGTGGTAGCATTCTTGTGTGGCCTTCGTGGGTGTGGGTCTGGTGTCATTCTTCATGTTAGGTACTCGTTTGTTAATGGGGGCAGGTTTCCAAATGGCTGGTAGGTGGGAGGTATCATCTCGTTTATTCATGCTGTGTGGGCATTTTTCTATCTCTATGGCTTCTCTGATTATTCTGTTGTTGAAGTGTTGAGTTTTGGCGATAGTTCTGGTATTTTTAAAGTCAATTTAATGTCCTGTGGCTTTGAGATGCTGGACCAGGGCAGAGGTCAGTTCTTCTTTTTTGATTGAGTTCTTGTGTTCTTCAATGCGTGCACTAATTCTTCTGTTGGTTTATCCGATGTATGTGTTGGGGCAGGCGGTGCATGGGATTTCGTATACTCCTTGGTTTTCTAACTCAATTCTGTCTTTAAGGTTTCTTAGGATGGTGGATATAAAACCCAAATAACCAAAGATCCACAAACAAATACCCGCGAAAACCTCAGAAAACGTGTGTGTGTGTATATAACATATATATTTATTTAAAAAAGAGCAACTTTTACCCAAAAGCAGGCAAAGCAGGCAGGCAGATTGAATTGCTCACAGAATCACAGATTAGAGATCTATCTGTCTGCAATCAGCTACCTGAGTCTGCACTGAAAGGCTTCAGTCCTAAGGAAGGTTCGGCTTTGCTTTTACATTAGCTAAAAAGCAAGAAATCCAAAGATTTCCTGCTTTCTAGCTAATCTAAATCTCCCGGCACAGCAGAACAGCTGATGGTTGGGAAAAAAAAGAAGAAAAAATAGCAACTTACCAAACCAAGCAAGCTGGATGACTTGCATGCCAGGTAAGGAGTAAGTGGGTGGAGAAGGGCGGGGTCTGTCAGTAGAGCAATTTCCCGGTTCTCTGAACTGGGGACAATCATATGTGCGGTGTTTGCAAGAAATCATCAGCTGTGCCGCCTGGACAGCCGACAAGCGCTTTGCTCAGGTGTGCAGGGTTTGAAAATCCTCGTTTTCTGCTTTTTAAACCTCAGCTGTGCCACGCAAAAAAGCTGACGAGGGAAAAGCAGGGGAAAAGGACAGCCTAGTGCCCGGGCAGGCAGGTTGGCCAAACACCAAACCAGTTCGGTGTCAGCTGCTCTTCACAGCTACAGGTTTTATAGAACTGGGCCAAACTGGTAGCATCCCACCCCTGATGTTACTGAGTTTGGGTAATGAAATGTCTGCAAGAAAACAAGCTCAAAGAGCACCCCTCATTTCAACCAAGCTACTAATATTCTCCTTTATTTGCATCTTTGAACTATGGAGCAGCATTTCATCTCCAATGGTTATCTTTTTGTGCTAAACATTTATCATGTGATTTAGCTTTGGAAGCTACATGAAGCAAGAGATACCAGTTTTTGACACATTCTATTGGGCTTCGCCACAGCTGGATCTCTTATTTGCAAAGAGAAAAAAACAGAGACAACTTTTGAAAACATTCAGAAAAATGGACGTAACCCCTCCCATAGTAAGTTAGCCAGCAACAAAATTATTATATAAGTAATGTAGTATCAACTTATAAAAGTAATTGATTCTGGAATTACAGCCACAATTCTTCACTGTTAAATGGGGTACCATGTGACAATGCCTCATTTATAACTTATTTTGCAGCGGTCATTAAGTGCACATGGCAGTCATTAAGTTAATCTGTTTTATCCAATGGGCATTTTTTTTCCTATAAGGTCTACTGTTCTTTCCAGCACTTACATTGTTTAACACTCTTTAATACATGAGGTAACAAAATTTTGCTTTATAATTACACATAAAAACCATCTGGCTAAGAAACAAATTAGCGTTTAAAGTTGTACGATTAAGATCTTACAATTGCTAACAAATCCAATAACCACACAGGGTGTCCCATTTTGTAAAATGTTAAAATCAAATGATCGTCTGCTCCATAAGCCAGACACAAAAGTGAGACCAATAATAAAAATCCCCAACAAAGCAGGTTCTGCTTACTGGAAAGGTAGCTAAGGATACCATGCTGCTATCTTTAGAGCAGGCAGTGAGAAAACAGGATTGTTTATGGTCTGTATGTTGGTCCCTTGGCCAAGATGTCTTCTAACATGGAATGGGACAGCTTGATATGGCCATCCTGCCTCTTCCAACTCATCATTATCAAGTTGTTTCAGGGCAACTCGCCAGGAGTGGCTGGAGAGCCAGGCTGGTGGGCAGGTGGGCAGAGTGCAGAGTAGCAGTGGTGGCTGGGGGCATCCCACCAGAGGGAGAGCCAGGTGGGTGAGGGAATGAATGTATGGGCCCAGTGCAAAGTAGCAGTGGTGTTCAGGCCATGCAGCAGCGAGTTGTTCCCACAGCAAAGTGGCTGTGTTGACTTGTCCAATGACTTGCAATGATGAGCTGGAGGAAGCAACTTAGTGGTGGTGAGCTGGCTACATTGAGCTGACCCTGCCAAATTGTCCTAGACCCCTTCCAACATTAGCAACTAGCCACTACAAAGTAGGAAAGTTGACAACTATTTTTCTCCACCTGAGCACGCACCATTTTCATTACTTTGTGCAAGCTTGTAGAAATATATATAATTTCAAGACTAATATCACAACAGGTATTATATGACAGTGCCAAGATTGGAAATTGCTTTCACATCTCCTTTGAGATTCTAACAGGCTCTGACCATGCTAATTTCAATGTTCTTAATTTAAGCTTACCAAATTTGCAGTAGATTCAGCTGCATTAAATACTGTGGTTGTTTTGCACTCTGGATCTGGAAAGCAGGGAGAAATAGGAAGTTGAAAGCAGCAGCTATTGGGTATAACTATTTACTACAAAAACAATAAAGTTACGAAATAGACATTTAGGGAAATACTCTAGTCTCACCTGGAGGAGTATACAGATAATCTTCATGGTATTCTCCTTGAAAAGCAGAGGGTAAGTGCACTATTAGAGACACATATCAGAAGTAAATTTCATGTAAAATAAACAATTCCAAGAGAAAGGATGTAAATCTAGCCTCATATTTTAAATTATCCAAACTCTTCAATGAATTTCTCCCAATGCCTTATGCTTCAAATTTCACAGTCCCCAAAGTGTACAACTGCTAAGCCATTTCTGATTGGACATCAAGAATTCTTAAGATCTGGCTGTGTAAAACTGGACGATGGAATATGGTAACATCATTTGTCATATTATTGTATTGTTTTGTTAATCTATGTAAAACATTAGCCAGATACAAAGTCAGCAAAGTTCAAGTTGCTAGATACCTGGTTAGTCTATATAAAACCCCACAACAATAACTAGATGTAGCTAAAAGTTTCAGGACAATATACTTTGCTGGAAGGAAGAAACCTGTTCTCCAATACAGGTCGCCCTCTCGACTTAACAATCATAATTGAGTTCAAATTTCCATTGCTAAGCAAGATAGTTGCTAAATGAGTTTTACCCCATTTTATAATTTTTCTTGCCTTCTTAAGTGAAGGGCTATGTTTGTAAGTCAAGGACTGTCTGTATAGTCAATGAAACCAGATAAATTGCATTACTTATTGCACTTAATTGATCTGTTTTAAAAAAATACTCAATTACTCAAATTGTCAATCAATAAATAAAATCAATTCAAAATAAATTTCTAAATGCTTAGAAAAACATTCAAGTGCTTCAAACATTTGGCATAGTAACTATATTGGAAAAGTAACATGTTTTTTCATGATTTATTTTATTTGTGTAACATATAAAAATTCCATTTCAATCAAACTGTGTATTGTCTGGGTACAACTGTTTTTAGGCAATCATAATCAAAGTGTTTACCATAGTATTCATCACAATAACATTAATACATGTACTATAACAGTAATATTTAGCTTATCTACTTTAACAAATCCCCATTTTGACATTTATCCTTTTTATGTCCCCATATTTCTAACTTCTGTTTTTATTATCTAACCATTGGTAAAATAGGTCACATATCAAAAATAATTAGTTTCTTCTTTGTCCTTAATAGTGTTATTCTATCCATTTCTATACATTCTAATATTTTCTTAATTACACACTCATCTGTCGGGATCTCATCATACTTCCATTGTTCTGCAAATATAATTCTGGCTGCAGTTAGTACATGTAAAATCAAATATATATTCCTTTTGTTGTATTTTTCCAGCAGATGCCAAATAAAAATATTTCTGGTTTCAAGTCTATATGTTGTTTTATCATTTTTTTTCCAACCAAGTATGTATTTTCATCTAATATTTTTTAGTTTGGGGCATGTCCACCACATATGGCAATATGAACCAGGTATTTGATTGCATTTCCAACTTTTAGCAGATTTATACATTTTTGCCAGTCTTATTGGTGTAAAACGCTATCTATAGAACATATTATACAAATTTTCTTTATATGCAGTTGATATAGACAATTTAACATTTCTATTCCACAATTTCCGCCATTTATCCAGTTCTATTGTATACCCAAAATTTTTAGCCGAAACTATCATCTCTACCTGCTCACTTTCAAGTTCAATACTTAATATGTAACAATATATTTTCTTTATCTGTTTTTTCATCCATTCCAGTTAATATCTGGCCCAATTCTGTTAATTCTTTATTAAAACGATATATTTTAGCATCTTTCTCATATCGAGATTATATCTGCATTTGTGGCCACCATGCAATGTCCATCCCTTGACTACTAAGTTCCTGCTTAGTTTTTAGTTCCCCCTTTTCATTCAGAATATCTTTATATCTTACAATTTTTTCCATATTTTCCAATTTTTTCCAACATTAGGATGTATCAATGCTTCCATTGTGGAAAGCCAGACTGGTATTTTCAAATAACGTTATTCTTTAATTTTAACCCAAACTGATAACAATGCATTTCTAACATTAATGTCTTTGAAAGTAACTATATATCTTATTTTATTTATTTGATTTGTCAATCGCTTACAAGATAATAGGTATAAGGATAAACATAGTTATGAATACAAGAAATGAGTACATATTAGAAAAATAAAAGAAACAATAGGACAGGGACGGTAGGCACTTTGGTGCACTTATGCACACCCCAAAAAGCATGCCAACCTAATTGAAGGTTGTGTCCTTCTAAAGTTAGTAGTCTTTGGTGCCTCAAATTAATCCATTCTTTCTCCGATGAAAGTACCAAGGCTTAATAATACAATTCCCAATCTGGCAACCTAAAGCCCCCTCTTTTTTTGGAGTCTTGCAACATTTTCAAACCTATTGTTTTTTTCCTAACCAAATATATCTTAATATTATTTTATTTAGTTCTTCAAAATATTTTTCCCCAATTTTATTGGAATTGTTTGGAATAAATATAGTCTTGGTAAAACATTCATTTTTACAGTAAGTATTCTTCCTGTTAATGACAATTGCAGATTTTCCATTTCTCTAAATCTAGTTTAATTTGTTGCATCAGTTTCATATAATTATCCTCTAATCATTGCACATTTTGCTATTAGTCGTATCCCTAGGTACTTCACTTTTTTGATTATCTGTATAGCAATTATTTCCATCAACACTCTTTTTTTGTGTATCTGTGAGGTTTCCAACTACAATTTTTGTCTTGTCTTTGCAACTTCCCCATATTCTTCTTTCTTTAAAAAAAAAGGTTTTTCTTTATTAAACAAACAAAAAATACATTAAAAATGTTGAAAATGGTACAGTCTTCCTAACATCGATCTTTGTCATTACTTTGCTAAGTCCAATAATAATACAAAATTTCATTCCATATACATTAAATATACACATAATCTCTTGACTCTTCTCTTCTCTAGCCAAACATAAAATTTGTCCCATATTTTATAAAAATCCGAATCCTTAGTTTTTAATTCTTTTGATAGTTTATCCATTTCTGCGCACGTCATAATTTTGCTAAATATTTCAAATTCATTTGGAGTATCCTTATTTTTCCATTTCTGTGCGTATGCCAATCTTGCTGCAGTAATTAAATGAATTATTAAGTAAATGATTTCCTTATCGTATTTCCTCATATTAATCCCCAACAGAAAGAACTCCGGTCTATGTTCTATTTTTGTCCCACATATTTCTTCCAGCCATTTATGTAGTTTATGCCAATAATTTTGGGCCTCTCTGCAACTCCACCACAAATGATAATAAGTTCCTTTTTCTTTATTGCATTTCCAGCATGTCGGGGAAAGTTTTGAATACATTGTTGCCAATCTCAATTTAGGTATGTGCCATCTATAAAATAATTTGTACAGATTTTCCTTAAATGGTATAGCTAAAGTCATTTTTTAATTCCTTTTTCATAGTAATTGCCAATCATCTAAATTAATGCTATACCCAAAATTTTTCATCCATACCACCACTGTTTCCTTTACTTTTTCTTCTTCCAATTTAAATTCCAATAAAACTTGATAGGTTTTTTTTTTATCATCTTGGTTCCTAATAAAATTTCATCTAATTTTGTCTTAGCTTTACTAATTCCCCACTCTTTCTTATACTAAATGACAAAGAGGAACTGACAAGATTTGTAGAACCAAGGAATCTATGTGGAATGGTGGGCCTATTTGCAACTCCAATCGAAATATCTAAAGGATAAGAAATCATAGGTGATGATTTTTCCTTGTCTCAATAAATGTGGGTGCATCAATGCTTCCAAAGTTGATATCCAAATAGGTGCTTCTATATACGTTTGTCTTTTTATTTCATTCCATGTATTCAAGAGAGTCTAATTTTATGTCTTTGCACATAGTTTATAGGCCTTTAGATTATCCTGCCAGAGGAAGGTATGCCATCCTGACTGCACCTTCTAATGTTAATATTCTTTTATTTCTATGGTTTATCCAATCTTTCACCCAAGTTAAAATTGCAGCTCTATAATACAGTTCCCAGTTGGGTAGGCCAATTTCTCCTCTTTCTGTAGCATCTTGCAGCAACTTCAATTTAACTCTTGGTTTTTTCTTTTGCCATATAAAATTTGCCATTATTTTGTTCAAATTATCAATAAACTTTTTTTTCCAATTTTGGTCCTAGGTCCATATATTTAATTTGCTGCAAGATGAACTCCCATTTCACATTGTCAAAGGCCTTTTTGGCATCTAAGAACACTAATGCGACCTGTTCACCACTATGATCCTCATAGTATTCTATGACATCTAAGGTTGTCCTAATATTATTTTTAAGTTGTCTATGAGGGAGGAATCCATTTTGATCTGTAGAGATAAATTCATTTTTTAAAAAATTAAATCTTTCTGCTATGATTGTCACAAAAAATTTATAATTGACGTTTAATAAGGATATCGGTCTAAAGTTTCCAGGGTCTGTTTGATCACTTCCTTCTTTAGGGATGATTGTAATCATAGCTTCTTTCCATGACTGTGGAATTTTTGCATCTTTTAGAACTTCATTAAATATTCTAAGCATTTTACTACTTAAAATATCCTGTTGCGATTTATAGATTTCCACTAGAATCCCATCTGGGCCCGGAGTTTTTATCATTTTTCTGTTTTTCCAGTGAAGTTCTTCTACTGTTATTTTCCGATTCAGGATATTTTTTTCTTCATCTGAAATTTTTGTAAGATCTGCTTTCTTTAAACACTCTTATTTTTCCCTCTGTTGGATATTCCTCCTCCATATATAATTTCTCATAGTATTTTTGAATTATCTCTCTTTTTTCTTCTTCTTGATAGCAGATCTCTCCTTGGTCATTTCTTAATTTGGTAATCCATCTCTTTTCTTTTTGTTTTTTCAAATTATAAGCCAACCAGCGACCTGGTTTGTTTGCAGTTTCGAATAAATATTGTTTTGTCATTTTTAGTTGGCGGGCTAGTTCTTCTTTATTAATTTTATGTTTTAATAGATCCATTCATAATTTGATTTGTTTCTTTTGTGGTCCTTCCTGTAGCTTCTTCTCCAAATCTTTATATTCCTGTTCGAATGTTTTTCTTTGTTGATTTTTCTCTGGTTTTT